ATTATAATATATTATATAAATTAAATATCAATTTCTTCAGAAAAAAGGTGAAATTTTGTTTGTGCACGCGAGTGTATGCACATTTAATTTAACTTAAAAAAAAAATCTGTCTTCGGCGTAATTCATGCCATAGTTCTCAATATATACTACAAGTTATTCTGAGAATTTTTTTATTTATTAGTTTATATATAAAAGCAATATTGTTCATATATTCAAAACAGTTTTAACTTGCCGTCACATTTCAATTTGTCTACATGCTTTGAAAAGTCATAGTAGCTTCAAGAATCGCAAGAATCTGTTTTATTCTTCAAAGAAAAACGCCACCTAAGTCTACTTCAACTGTTAGAACTGATTGTAACCGACATCGATTTATTTCTTGATAAGACAGCGGAATACATGATAAGGACATCAAATCCATTCGATGTACAAAGTTTCTATCATGATTGTTAAAATACACCTAATCAACATCAAACTTCGACTATTTATAATCTATAATTTATAATCTATAATTATTTTTATTGATAAAATTGTTTAATATAGCAAAATTTTTAACTGTAAGTAATTCATTGTATAAAATTTTTTTGTACGCGTCAAATAAACGAAAAAATAAATTTTATTTATGTTAATACAGTACAAGTATTATTGTACTTGATTAATTAGTAGCTTAAATTAATCGACTTAAATTAATCGGAGTAGAAATCATTTATTTAAATCTTATCGTTAACATTGTACCGATCTGCATCTCGAATACACAACCGCAACGATATAGCCTCTTCGAATGAAATGGATGGCGTCGGATACAGGAATTAAACTTCCTTCTTAAGCGATTTCGTATCATGACAGTGAAATATTATGTACACGCCAAAGAATACGATAAGGATAAATACGGAAATAGTTGGCAGATTATAGAAAAGTAAGATGACATTCGTAAAATTTCCGATTATAATTGCATCAAATCGATTATTAATGGCTTTTATGGCAACGATGAGAATTACATAACATGAAAATAGAAAAAAAGGAAAATTATCATGCAAAACGATTTCTGTAAACACCTTCCTTTTTCATGTGTCTCATAGCATTCATTTCATGAAGAATATTTTGCTTACTGAACACTTATATTAATAGCAACAAACTTTAGCCTTTAGAAAATGTGTGTCAATTTGTATTGTTACTTAATAAAATTTTCCAGAAATGATCCAAAATTGAATATGATATTCGGACAATAAAATTTGAAGATTATAAAAATAATTATTTCTTACATATATTTATATTTCTAAATAAATGAAAATTATAGGACAAATAAAAATATAATGATTCTAAAATGATAAACCAGTAACATAAAACATGAAAAATAATAATTACTTTTCACTAGCAGATAAATGGAGAAGATTGATTAAGCGCGTGGATAAATCAAATATTCTAATATATTAGATAGGAAATTACAATTATTGTAACACAAGCAAAATAACTGGATTTTACAGTCTAGTACCCAATATGACTCACTTTATGAATAATTACATGATGAAGATTCAACAGATAACATTAAAATCATGCAGACTATCCATTTGATTCGATTGCATCATTTTATTGCTCAGTTTGTATATTTTGTTAAAGCAGAATGTCGTGATGTAATAATATTTCGTAATAGTAAGTAATTACTTTTATAATTACCAAGAAATGGGTGTTTCCGTAGTTTATATTATTGTGGCTTTATTTATATTTATATTTATACTAAAAAAAAATTACTAAATTTTAATAAATATTTGTTTCAATAGCAAAATATTTGTTTACAATAAATAAATATAATTTACTCAAAATAAAAAATAATTATAATTATCAAATAAATATATGTTTACATTTAGTAAATATTTCGTTAGTACTATTGAAACAAATATTTATTAAAATTTAGCAATCTTTTTTTAGTACAACTGTGTGTTTAATTAATATTTTCGTCAAAACGTTTATGATCAAAAAGAAAAAACTTTTTGTAAGGTAGCAAATCAATATGACTAACTAGTCATGTCCAATGCTTTAAGATTAATATCTTATAATTTATATTGTTTACCTTTGCATAACATATTAGCTTTATTTTAGTTTTGCATTTCAATATAACTTTCTTTTTATTTTTGTTGCTTGATATTTTATCTATTTTATTAATTCAAAATACATGAGATACCTTATTGAAGATGCGCGCGACATTTTTGTATATTGCAATATTTGATTGAAATGTGCATTATTTTGTTCTACATTCTACAATAAAAGCGCATAGATAAAGAGCAGTATCATGCGTCTTCTACGAATTGTAAATGTTTGGAACAAAAATAAAACTGGCATATTACGCAATCGTTGTTGAGTAACTTAAAGATTAAAGATAAACACATGAAGAAATATTATTGATAAAAACTATCTGTAAAAAATTTTATTTTTTATAAAATCACAATTCTATTTTACTATAATAAAGATTTATTAATTGCCATTTTTACTTTGTTATATGTTTCAAATTTGTACACAAAAAACAATCGATTATAATTAATATTATTATTTCTTTTTATATAATATAGAAATAATTGAAAAAAATATATGTTTTAAATAAGTTTTTACCTATTCTTAATAATTTATCTGTTGTCTATTTGTATTGTCCTCAATAATATAAAATTTTTTAAATTTTTAGATAAAATTTAAATTAATTTATTTTAAATTGTTTTTAAGTTAAATGTCTTAAATTAAATGTTTTAAAATTATACATTTTAATAAAATTAATTTACTGAGAATTTACGTGAGATGACAGGTTAAATATATGTGAAATTTTGTATAAAATTCTAATGTAACAGATTTAAGAGGCTTTGTTATTGAATTTAAATGAGATTAATCTTCTTAAAATAATGTTATATAAAGAATTCTTTAAATATATACCTTTTGCGCGCGTTGCTCGCGTAAGCACTTAATTATCTAATAATGAAGTTAGACTGTGACGCACGTAAACCTCTCAATCGGACTAGACCTGAATCTGCCTACGTCACAAGAACAACAGGTGGAAGATAAATGTTTCGCAAGGAAATTGTATGGTAATTGCAAGTTTCGCAGCGTGCGTATGGGACAGGTTTGCGGGCATTTCGTTGATTATCCCGCAAATGCGATTAGACTGTTAGTGTGGTCTCCCGATTCTGAGTAAGTGGTATATATTGACGTCACATAATATGCGATGCACCTTTCCCTTGCAAGAATAAAACCATTGCGCAAAATAATATTTTAAAGCAAGTGATTTGCGCAAATCACTCTATAATCATTTGTGTTTCTGACAAATGCCGTATGCGATAGTTATGGCGTAGAATAAAATGATCTTCGAGTAAATTTAAAATTTTTCATCTTATTTCTGTTTTTATATCAAATTTAATTAAATTTTAATTTTTATTAATAAAAAATAATCCTCTAAAATAT